TGAGAAATAATTAGTGATAATTATTTTCTCCGTGTAGATAAGTTTTACGTTTGTTTTATTCTAAAGAGAAATGGAAAGTTTAACCTAGTTCAGACAGAAAAGAACATATTTGTAATCATGCGAAGCAACTAGAGTGAAAGTAACATTTCGACAATAATATCTCATCGGGAAATGTTGGCGCGGGGAAAGCTCAGATATATCGCGATCATCGTGACGTGTGAATCAAGGCGCCGGTCGTGTGTGACCGAGTACGCGTCGGCGAATGCGAAGAATCGACGCGGAATACAAACGAATGAGGCGAGAGCGGTGCGGCGGACAGACGATTAATGAACGCGAGCGAGGAAGAGAGAGAGAGGAAACGCGGAAAAGTTTCGCCAACATTTTTTTCTCGCGAAAAATGCCTACGCGTGTGCGGTAGATAATCTCGACGATCATCGGCAAGCGACAGCTCGAAAGTTCCGGCTATTCCGGGAGACGTAGTATGTACTCCGCTGGTTTATAGTGGCTCTGTGGTCGTCGGGTTCCGAGTGGTCAGCGGTGCCCGCTGCTGCAGCGGCGTTATCCACTTGCATCGTAACTAGTCGTAGCAGCAGGGACGGTTACGACGGTCGCCTGCGTACTGTTGTCGCGTTGTTGTTACTGCTGCTGCTGTTGTTGCCGCTGCGACTGTCTAGACGCCGTTGCACCTCGACCGACCGACCGACCGACCGACCGACTGAGTCCAACCCGCGACTGCATCGAGCCAAAGGGATGAAAGGGGAGGGTGGTGGGGTCGGGTGGGAGGGGGCGGAGGGTGAGCGAGCTAGTAAATTACACGTTGACTAGGGCTGACAACCGCAATGCGTGGCACACACGACCGTGCGCGCACGAACCTCCTCTGCTCAGGACGCCGGTGTGTTTATGCGCCCTGTGAGTCCGGCACTGTCAGCCTGCCTAGGCCGCTCCGGTGAATTATAGACGAGCCGGCCTTAATAAAGACGCGGTGGATGCCCGAAATTCTCGCCCCGGCGTTCCATCGGACCGGGAACGCCGCGGTTCCGTCCGCGAATTGCGAGTCGACCGGCCGCCTACTACTACGTGACACGTACCGGCGTAACGTCGCGGCGCACTTGTTACGTTGGTCGTTGCGCCCGCCGTCGTTTCGCGAACGCCGTGCACGTACGTACGTAGATCGTTCCCGACGGTAGCCGGGAAAACTCCGAGGAGTCGAACGTATTAGGAGCTTGCGAAAGTTCGCCGGATCGTCGATGATTTTATTGCCCCCGCAGATGAATCACACATTTCGCAGACGTGGGATCGCGCAATTACGTGGAACGTGGCGGTAAGTGCTGGATAACAGAGTCGGGTGTGAGTCGATGAACATTTTCGCGGACTGAAATAATCGACGAATCAATAATTCAGATTAATCATATATGTATATCTGCATGTAAAATAGAACGCATCTGTCTGTATGTATGTTCTTTATATACTGCTGAACTCTTTGACCGATCTGAACCAAATTTTGCATAGTTATTCTCTTTAAGACTCTGCGGGTAATACAGGCTAAAGCATAATATAAACTGCAATCTAGACATATAAATTGCAAACCTATTCTTCCTTTTGTTTTTATTTTCTAATTTCATCCTCTTGGCACATTGTTGTAACTCTAACAACGCCCGTTAGTTTTAGCTAATCGCGAATATGATTTCATTGACTGGTGAAATTAGTTATTAATTAATGTGTAATCAAACATACTAGAGTTTTTTATATTTTATACTAGATTAGACTAGGTTTTTAGATTTTCTTGACTTTTAGAAATACAGGGTATAAAAGAAAAGGATTCAAGACTCATAGGATAGAATAGGATGTAAAAGAAAAAGATTCATAGAATAGAATAAAGTAAAAGAAAAAGATTCAAGATTCATAGGATAGATAGTACTTAATAAACTGAATAAACACTTGGTAAATATGAATCGAATACTTGGTAAATATGAATCGAAAAATCAACTTCTCTTTGATTCATGTTCACAAGTATTTTTACTCAGTATAATAAGCATTTGCTATTTTTGTAACGCCCTGTATAATATCAAATTTGCTTGCTTGTGGGTGTACATGTGTGATAAAATTATATTACGCTACACTATTATAGGTTCTCGAAAGGCCTTTATATATTGATTTAATTAGGTATCAAAGTTCAATTAATGATTAATTTTATCAATCGGTGAAATTACTTGTGATTTTATATATGATGATTGATTAATTTCGATTACTGATTTGTCGATTATTTTAGTCAAAGAGAATTTTAATCGATTAATTAATACCCAAATCGAGAATTAATACCTAACATCATTGAACAATGCGCGCCATATTTGATGAAACATAATATATTTCGTTGCAACATATAATAACACGATTACTCTCTCTCTCTCTCTCTCTCTCTCTCTCTCTCTCTCTC